AGAGAGAGAGAGAGAGAGAGAGAGAGAGAGAGAGAGAGAGAGAGAGAGAGAGAGAGAGAGAGAGAGAGAGAGAGAGAGAGAGAGAGAGAGAGAGAGAGAGAATTTTCATATAGAATAGAATATCACTAAAAAAGGAACCAAAAAATATGATATATATTTTTAGTGCATTACTGATATCAAGAAGTTCAGTGATTTAAAAAGGAATACCTAACGCTTCATACTTATGGCTCACAGTGATACATACAAAAGATGTTCAGTCAATAACATAAAGTATAAGATAATGTGCAGTATATAAAGTGAGTGTTTTATGAACCATTTTTGTAGGTCTAGAAATGGATTGTAAGGCCGAATGATGATAATAAGTGTGTTCAGTGTTCTGGTATTACTGAGAATGAAATACTGATCTGGAGAAACAGCTGGCATTGCTGTTTTCTAATATGAACTGATATGTGATATTTATTGTATATACAGAGTACAATATGGTATAACATATCCCTTACCGATGTGAATCTTATAAATTCCTAGTCTTTCTTTTGTACCATCTGATGTTTTGAATAAATTAAAGACAAATATAGCTAGATCAGAATGTTTTAATTTCTTTGGTAAGTTATTAGTCTTTTTTTTCTGTTCATTCCTTATAATGCTTTCCCTATACACATACCTACTTTTCTTGCATTATTTTAAAAACAGTTGACCAAACTGGATAATTTACCTGAAACATTATACATTGTGTCTTTTTTATGTACTTTCAGTAATTAGATGGGTGAAAAACATGCTCTCTGTAGTGTCTGATTGTACATTTTAGTTCTTAATTCTCTTGTGATATTTTGTGTGAAAAATGTATTATAGGTTCATTATAAAAGTATTTTTGTTATTTGTGAGAGGTGTAATTTCCTGTGTGTTTTTTGTAATATACTTTATTGTCAATGTTTGCACTTACTATGGAGTTATTCTGTATTTGTATTTAAGGATTATTAACTTTGCCTTTCTTAACATAGATTGATGTCAGGAAATGAAAACTATATGTTATGGAACTAATACATTCAGGTTACATTGTGGTTTATAAGAAAGGTTTGATAACCTTTTATGCAGTAGTGTTCCCTTTATTAAAGTGATTTTTTATTATCATTTTTGTAGTGGCAAGGTATCTATTAACAAGGTCAGGCTGCTAAAAATAAGTGACTACTTAGACCTTGACTAGAGAATATAATGTTACATGTTATATTCACATGTTATAGTTACATTGAAGTTACATTTACAAAGAAAAATTAATTTAATGAACACCAAAAAAGTCCAATTAAAAAGGAAGTTATGCCGTTGGAGTAGGGGAAAAAAGGTTAATTTAATGAACACCAACCTTATGTAAAAAAAAAAATCCAAATAACAAGGAAGTAATGCTGTTGGAGTAAGAAAAGTTATAGTAGGGAAAATTATAGGGAGAAAGTTATAGTGGAAATATAATTAAAGTTTTAAATTTTATGAAAGATTTTTCTACTATTTCTGGACAAGAAAAAGGGTAGAGGTTATTTTAAAGTTAATTTAATATGGGTTTCATCTTCAGCTAGCTGAAAATTTCTTGAGGTCTGAATAGATGCCAATATGAATAAACAAAAAAGATTTTTAAATTTTAAAAAATGTTCATGTTCATCATTTGTTACTGTAATGAAGGTACCTCCGCTTAATTAATGATAATAATGAAAATGATAATATGAATAATAGTTCTGAAATCATGTTGATTAAAAAGCTTAAATGGAGAACTCTAAATAGATGCCAAATTCAACAAAGAATTCAGATTCATGATTCAAAAAATTATTTTGAAAAATCAGAAAATAAATTCACTTCACAGATAAAATAATGGATGAGATGTTTATTTGTTATAATAGGTGAAATAAACTGTTGGATAGTTTCAAAAATCAAGATGAAAGGATGATTTCCCTAAAGTTGAAAAGAAGGAAAGGAAAATGGGAAAATTCTTTAACCAGTAACATCATAGGATATATCGCTTCATGGAAAGTGTGTAGCTAGATGTACATCACATGATTGTAAAGCTTAATAGGAATTTGATATGATACATTTTACAGGGAATGAGATGGAAGTATACAATAATAATTCAAGTAACAGCAGTGACTAATAAAATCAGGAAATATATAAAAGAAAATTGAAGGGGTGTTATTGCCAAATCCCCCCCCCCCCCCATCAAATTGCATATAGGAGGATCAGCCAGAAAATCAAAATGTGTGGTAATATGTTTAAAGTATTTAGGGGGGGTATTGATCAAAAGATGGGCTAAGCAAACTAAATGACTTGAAAATAGAAAGATAGTTGAATACTGTTTTTCATCATCCTATTATTATCATTAATTGTATTTTTAGCTTCATATTGTATCTTCTTAGAACTTTGAAAAAACACAGGTAGCTCATTGTTTAGATGAATATCTAAAAACATTCTTTAGAGCCCCTTATGCTATTTTGATTATGCCTTTGTATCATTTAAAACACGTTCTCATATGAAATCCATGTTTCTATATTGTAGTGCAGGACCATATAATGAGAGCTTTAATACCAAGATTTATTTAAGGATAGGCTGACAGATATTTTTATGGTAATATGAACCATTATCATTCACCCTTTTTGAGTCCTTCAAAGATTAATAACATATCAACGGTCAAAAAGTGATAATATATCCTCTTGTTTCTTTACTAAATAAAAAATGCATCAGAGTAGCAGGCTATGCTCTTAACAGGACAGTACATCAGTGGTAAACTATGTATAATACTTAATGCTTATGTTCCATATGTTAACCTACAAGCTTAGAGAGAGTGTTTGTTATCCACACTTATGGAAGCTAAATCATTCAGTTATATATACAGGCTAAAATACTCAAAGTGCCGATGACTAGAAAATGCAGTAATATTTTGGCTAATTGTATGCCATGCTTAATAACTCATGTGCCTTTCTTTCTATATTATAACAATACAAACTGCACAGTTTGCAATAATTGAGACTCAGGTCCCAGTTTGAGCTTGTACTATTGTGGACACTTGTTTTTAAAATACTTTATTGCTTAGTATAATTGTAGGTAAATAAAGTCTTCATACAACGGAAGCATTTGTTTTCTTGATATTCTATTATCACAGAGAACTGTTGTTTATAAACTTTGTAATCATACAATGCTTCGGAAAAGGTAGCTTTAATTAATATGTCGAGCATGTACATAGAAAGAATGAAGCTATAATATTATAATAAGAAAAAAAGTATATTTTTATTACATGTAATGTGTGTAGCTGGTAATATATACTATTTTGCTTTTAATTATTATGATAATGTTATAATGTGTTCCCATTGGGAGATTTTCATACCCTTAGATACTTCAAAATCAGAAATTACTCATATATTACTTTTCCATGTATCACACCTGTCATATTCATTGAGGAGTTACGAAGAAGTTGACTTGGGAATGGTTAATGGTTGAAACAAATACATGTGCTAAACATCTAAGGTGATATAGGACTATGGTAAGGTATTGTGGTGAAAAGGATAAATGAGTTAACAATTAGTATGAAGAGTGTTAAATGTAAAAGGTTATAGTGTTATAGGGTAGTATGATAGGGAAAAGGGTAAAGAGGGAGTGCAAATGAAGTAAATAGGAGATTAATAATGGAAAGATTTAAGGGTATAGGGTAATTGGACGGAATGGGTTGTATCTTTTGTTGGCAAAGCTATTGTAACATAGTTTTAAGGAAAAACTGGCAAAAGAGCTGTTAAGAAATAATCAATGGCTAATACGGGTAGAGATGACTGTTAGAGAAGTAGTAGAAGTGTCTGGGAGATGAGATAAGGGGACTGGGGAAGGAGGGGAAGTATCAGGAAGAGCGTCCAATAAGCAGTCAAGGATCAATGGTTGTGGGTTCATATCATATGGGTTTTATCCTTAAATGAGAATTTTTTTTCCTTTGGTGTTATTTCACCTGTTCACCTATGCTGTTCATTATCTCCATATAATACAAGGATCCCTACTGGAATAAGTCCACATTTAATTAATTTAATTTCCTTTGTTTTCACTCTTTTTCCAACTAGAAGTGATATGCTACCCAAATGTACCAAGGTTACTCATTATGCTGCTTCCTTACGATTTTCCAAAATAATGTATAATAGATAAGGGTTCCAAGAAGATCCCTGATGGAATTTGACTATAGTTTGGAACCAAAATGTTTTTTTTTTAATATCTCATCAGAGTTCTAGCTTCATATATTCTCTTACTGTTGACATCCTTTTTGGGCACATGTTTTTTCCCTCATGTATTTCCATTAGCCTTCTGTAGATTGATAGAAACAATATAGTCCTCTTCTCTTCACTTCTTCTTCTCCATTAACTGTCTCAGAGTGAGAATTGCAACTGTAGTGCTTTTCCCTTCTTTAATCTGTTGACACTAGGAGTCCAAATATATTGATACTGTCCATTGTGGTCTTGCTGTATTAATTTTGGTGCTAGTAACTTACTAGACCTGCTTCACTTCAACTATTCAACCTGTATTATGTTTTGAATTATGAATGATATTACCATAATGGTAATAATGAAAATGAAAATGTAAATGATGATAATAAAGAAAATGAGTTTTTCCCCAGAAAATTTAAAGAATGGTTATACAGGTGACATTAGATAGACCTGGCGACTCAGTGCATGAATTCAGTGCCATTGGTTAAAATCAAACTTGTAATTAGGTATTATTACAGAATTCCTCCATTACTGGAGATTTTTCCCTTGTTCTCAAATAAGCTTCGTCAAGAATGCCTACTTTTCCCCCCCAACCTCTTTCAAACTTCTGCTATATTACTTTGTATTGGCTTGTTCACTTTATTCCTTCTTCTAGTATTACTCTTTCAATTGGAATATCATCTCTAGCTACCAATCTTGCATCTTTTTTGTTTATTGGATTTTCATAGTGATTTGCAAATTATGTCTAAATATAGTCCTTTTGTCTTTTCCATGTTTATGCAGATTCTAAACCCATTTCAAATAATTTAATCTTAGATACTATTTTTTACCTTGATATGCCAATGGTTTGGTTAGCCATCAAAAGTCATGTAGTATAATTGTAAATTATTATAGCAAAGGGTATGAATGTGTTCATAATCAGAATAAAATATGTTAGATTTCAATGGCCATACAGCATTATAAGGTAGTATTGAAGTGAAAAGTTTAAAAAGAGGGAGAGTAAATAGATTAGGGTAGCATTTAGTAGAAGGGGAAGGGTGAATATATCAAATGGAGGATAATTATATATCTGAGAAAGAGCAAATTGTTATTGGAAAAAGTGGGGATTCTATGAGGATATCCAACTGGTTAGGGAGTTGGGGAAGAGAGGACAAGTTACAGTAAAGTGGGGGCAGGATAGCAGGAAGTATGGGGCTAAAAGAGGAACATTGCATGAGGAACATAAGAGGTGGGTTGGAGTGTGACATGAGATATGAATGCATGAGGCAAGTATAACTTATTCGTAGGTGTGCAAGAGCTGGTTTTTAGCATCTGTTCTGGTGTAATGGGGCTGACCAAGGAGGGATGGGTATTGATAGTTTGTAATTTATTTGTGGTCAGTCTTGACCAGAAAGATTGTCAGTGATTATGGTGGAAAGTCTTAAAGTGGGATTAGTGGTTGGTGACTGGAATATGTGAAAAAGAGGTTGATGGGTTGGGAATAAGTTGGCAGTGTGTGCCAAGGCTTGGCACGCTCATTGCCAGGGATCATGACATGGCTTAGTATTCAGCAAAACATGACAAGGAACTTGCTTGACAGGTAGAATTAACGTGATGCATCATATAGAGAGAGTGGAGGTGGGGGTCTATACGTTAACAAGAAAAAAGGATGGTTAATGCTTAATAAACAAATAAATATGCTAAAGATCCAAGGTCTTATTGCACTATGGTAAAGTATAGTGGTAAAAAGGGTAAAAATGAGTTAACAATTAGGATAAAATATGTCTAATGTCAAAGGTTATAGTGTATTATAGGACTGTATGGTAGTGAAATTGATAAAGGAGAGCAAGTGAAGTAAAGCAGAGATAAGGGAAGATGGGGAAGTATCTGGAAGAATGTCAGGACGGGAGGGATCTAGAGGACACTGTTGCAACAGAAGAGATTTCTTGAGTACCCAGGTGGGAGTGGTAAGATAATGGGGAACAAAGAGGGAATGGTGCTGAAGAGGATATGGCATGTTGGGAGAGTGGGAGAAAAGGGGTTGGAGGAACTAGGGGAGGAGAAGGATTGATATCAGTAAAGATTTTGAATGTAGAAGGAATGGGAATAGAGGGATTGGAAGGCAGAAGAGGGAGTGGAGCGATTAGAGTATCTGGATTCAGAATAGAAAGAAATTTGACTAGGGGAGAGGGGGCATAGAGGTAGGATGGTTCAGGGTAGAGGGAAGAGATTTTGAGGAAGATGTTGAGATATCTTGAGAAGATGGGAGGGGAGCAGAGTGAAGGACACCTTTGGAATAGGTAGAGAAAAAAACCTCATCGCCATGCTTTCTGTCTGGTTTCATGCTGAATAAGTCTTAGTTTGAAACTGAGAACTGGTACCTCAGATTCAAGCTTGTAGGTAAGGCAGCTCCTATAAAATACATTATGGGAGCCACCACAATTGGCACATGTACGTGAATGAGCAGAGCAATTTGAATGGTCATGACCAAGTTAAGCACGTAGGAGGGCAATGGGCTGTAGAGTGAGTGTGTTTGGCTGGGTCGCCAAAACACCAACATTTCTGACATTGATGAGGAGGGAGTTGATAAGGTCGGACATGATAGGACACTCCACTAATATAAACTTCATGGGGGAGGTCATGTTTATGGAAGCTATTAGTGTAGGATTTTTGCTGGCCTCTGGATGGAATAGTGTAGCATTGTACTGCCCTCGCATTATAGTCAACAAGACAGGTGAGCAGGTCATTTTCAGTCTGACCAGTCCTTGTTGTAGACAGGACAATCAGTTGGGGAGATGGAAACAGTTCTGGTAGAAGTATTAAGAGAGGAGTGAGGTTGGGCATGAAAAGGTTTGCCAATGAGGTCGACCAGGGTAGAGCTTGGGACTCGGATGTAACTGTGACAAAGTGTAAATGATCAGATCGACTGTGAAAGGAAACTTTGCCTACTTGCTTTTAGGGTTGTCAGAGTTAGGGTTTGTAGGGGGAATCACAAAGAATCTATCCCACTTGGTTGGGCCAAAAAGGTTGTAGTGGTGGAAGCAGTAAAAGGATGAGGATGGGAGGAAGATGGGGTAGTTTAGAGTGAGGTAGTACTGTGCCGAGGATGGCAATATAGATGAAGAGAAGTAGTAAGGGAGGAGGGAGTACACAATGAAGAAGACTGTACATTAGGAGATAGAGTGGTTAATCTTGGGAGAGAGGAAGGAGTGCATTCTGAAGGTTGAGTAATGATTTGGATAGATAATTCATAATGGAGAGTTGTCAGTAAACATCTGGGAAAGAGTATTAGTATCATTGGTCAAGAGCCATGGTTGGGAAACCAATGAATCAAATTTAGATAGGCTAATTGATGAAGGGGCAATAATGAGGGTAAAAAATTTTCATTTTTGGTCATGGTGAGCCTGAAATTAATACCCTATACCTTACCCCATATGGGTAAGGTATAGGGTATTATCCAAGGGAATACTGTACCCATGGCTTGCAGTGGTCATTCATAATTGTCACAAAGCCAGCCTTTCAACATGGCTCTCACACCTTAGGAAATGGATAGAAAAGGGAATGAAGAACAGAAGGAAAAGGGAAGCGAGAGAAAAAAGACCATGTAAATTTAATCGAGATGAGGGCTGCGGTTCAAGGTTCAAGGTTCGATCCCCTAACTTGGGCTTCATTCACAATCTCCTAAGCCCCCTGCACAAGAAATGGATTGGTAATCTTGAGGAAAGATACCAGATTCATTGGGTTTTGGGAAAGGTAATACTAGGGCTTCATGCTTAAATTTTGCTAAATATTGCTGGTAGGAAGGACAAGGAGGTAAGTGGTAGGTGTCATAATGAGTACTGGGTGTTGTGGCATGACAAAAGCATAATGGATTTCAGATGAAAATGGGGGATTATAAGATTTTGTAGAGGACAGGAAGAAGGAGATGGGAGTGCACTCTTTGGCTGACCGTATGGAAGAGAAGTGAGGATATTGGCAAAAGCTACTACCGACCTGGCTCAAGTAGACATTTTGTAGCTACTTGGAGAGGATCAAAGATGAGGGTATTTTGGGTAAGGAGAGTGGGAGCAGGATGAGGGGTATGTTTGCTAGGCAGTTTACAGATCCACCACCATACTGCAGAAACTGGTGTAAAGGATGTTATGGAGGAAACATAATTTTGCCTTAATATGCTATTGAAACAATTAGTCTCAATTCATCATTTATTTATCAACTTTCTCCATTCCAGTAACATTTTTTGCATTTTAGAATAGTGCACCACTTACATTACACAAATGTAGTTGTAAAAACAACTGATAAAAATATTGTTTCTCTTTAGTTTAACTTTTCCTAAAGGATCAATTTCTAACAATGTTTATATAGCTAATTAATGTTAAGATATTAATCTCAAACTGCATATATTACATCTGTTTCTTTTATATACTTGTGTCTTCATAAACTAACGTTGTTCATAATAATCTAACTGAAAAAATGCTCAACAATTTTCAATACAAAATGAAGAACACAAACAAAGGTACCATACATTTAGGAATTGCACAACCTTCGATTTACACCAAAAGAAAAAAAGGAGAGAAAAAAATCAAACATAACAATGTAAGGAAATGAAACCAGACATATATAACTATTATGCATTCAGACCGCTTTTCCTTTCACTCACGGAAATCGTATGATATTCACCTCATACAATCTAATTTCAAAATATAGGTAATAATGGCACAACAATAGGTAGACTTCGGTAATCATGATGTGACTATTTATGTACATAACCTAAGTTACAACTGTTACCAACAATGGCAATCCAAAACTTTCACATTTCTTTTTCAGTCCAGTAGGTTGCGAGATGGTAAAAAGCCTTTATCTATTTACTGTAAATAAACATGAAAGATTCGTAAAGTGCTAGCTTTCCTCTGATCTACACTTACTACTTATGGTTCAAGCTGCTCAAAATGTGGAGACCAAAGGAAAATTATCTTGCCATGAAGCTAGCATGGCAATAACATTGCATTCATGCATTTAAGCTGGTCTACTAAACTTAATAACTGCACAGAATCAGGGTATTTCAGCTCTTTACATTTAGTTTTATTGGTAACTCACTTTCATTTATTTTTTTTTTACAATCAAAATGAGGTTTGTAGCACCAAAAGGGTGGGTTTGAACAGGAATTACTAAAAATAGTTGAGCATAAGTATATGGTAACTATGTAATAATGGTAACTGAGTATTCAGTGAATCTAGAAAGGAATATTTTCCTGATAATTCATGGTTTTCAGAACTAGCTTTACAAAAACAAAATTGTCTGAAAGATCTCTTACATAAGACTTTTCTCATCTAATATTTCAAAAAAATATTTGAACATAATTCAGTACCAAACATAATAGTTAATGCCATTTAACACATCCCCAAAATGTTTCATATGTTTGCATTTCAAGGTCATATATCTAAACATCAGCATAAAGAAGGTGCAATAGACATTGGATCAGTCAATACTGCATAAAAAAAAAAAAAAAATAATAATAATAATCATGAAAAATTTTCATCTATATTTTTTGGAATATATAAAAAAGTGCTCACACTCTACAGTTAATTGCTTGCATCTTCACATTAGCATCTGCTATCATTGTTTGTCAAAAAAAAGGGAAAAAAGGATGTAATTCAGAAATTTTCACTTCAAGAATGTGCTTCAAATTTTCAGGAAGACTGGTGATGTAATATAGCAGAACTGGGATGGATGACCCTGCCTATGCTCAGTCTTGTCTTCATCAGTCGTGGTTGCCTGTGACAGTGGTGTGTTCCTTGTCGAATGTACACCTGTAAGGAAAGCCAGCATGTATTATTCATATGAGACAGATAAAGCTGAATAATATTCTTAACATGCATATTGTAATTATAAATGTTTGTATGTCTATACCCATTCTTTCTTCTCCTACAGTTTTGTCTGTAACATACATGAAAAAAGCTACAAACAAATATAATTATAAGGGAAAAATATATAAAATTCATGACCATTTTCACAAAGTGAAAACATTTTGTATGATCTATTTGCTGTAAAATCTAATCTTTCATTAACCCCTATGATCTGGATGATGGTGACATCACTGGTGACAGGATCTTGCCATCATAAGAATTTTGGCTTTAGGCCTGGGTGATGAGAATTCTTGGAGGGTGATAAGATTCAGTGGACATTTAGGGTGGTGCTTTTGCATTATTATGCTTGTGAAATGTACCATCTGCGAGCCAAGGCTGGAGGAGCGCCAGCTCTATGGAGGGTGCTATTTCCATGCTCAGGATCCTATTCCTGCAGTGCAAGTTGTATTACAGAAAAGTGAATATTATGGAGGGGACGGAATATTACTAATCATTATTATTATTGCACTGATTTATTGACTATTTAGAGATGATATGGTATCTATGCTAGGAAAATGGCAAAAAACAAACAAACTAAAAACACTTCTATAGATAATGAGAATATAACACTGAAAAGGGAGGGATAAAGTGTTGTCCCCACATGTGTGTTCGTGTGAGCCCAGCCTACAAGCTGCACACATCAGAGTGGCCACTCAAATAAACCTAATACCTGTATTTTAGGTTATGTGCAAAAAGTGAAGCATCCAGATCCAAGGGGTTAACATCAGTCATTTCATAATATATTATAAGAAAGGTCTCATATAGTAATAGAAAATAGTAAAATCTACTCTACAGCTCAGGCAAAAATACAATAACACTATAACTAAGCATTGAAGAGAGAGTTCTCTCTAACATGAAAATGATAATACTTTAATTCACACAAAAACATCACAATTACATGCAATAAATATTGAAAACTTCATATTAATTTGAACTAATTTTGTAACTCTGGATGCATGCTTGTATTTCATAAACCTTTCATCCTCTTTTTTATCTATATGACTTTCATCAGTCTTATCTACATCAATTTCTTACCAACCATCATCCTCTAGTTATAAAAAATATTTCAAACTGCCCTGAAAATCTACATCCTTGTAAAGGTCTTGACTATGTTTGCAATTTACTATTCTAGAAAGTGCACTACAAAATCGCTTGTGTGTGAGGTATACAAATTTTAAAAAGTTTTCTTGATCTTCCATGCTTCTCATGAGCCAGAGGTTTTAAAATTCTATCCAACAGTTATAACAAAATGTTGTTGGGTTTCCTAAGGAAGAAGCTATTTACAAGAATAAGGGTCTCAAAAATTACTTAAAAAAGTAAATGCCATTTACTAAATACTAACAAAAAATCAATCAAAATAACAAAAACCATACAAAAAGTTGTAACTCCACAATGTTCCGTCTTATTGATGATGATGATAACGACCTATTAGCAGAATAAAATATCTCATCATCAATAAGTGTACTGGTAACAATGTGCATAAGAGGTGAATTGTAATGGTAACAATGAGACACAGGACCAATCCTAAGTGAAAAGCTAGATAAATGACAGATATCCTTTCAAAAACATTTGATCCGATATAAGTAAATATCAAACTATGAAAAGCAACAAAGACAAACCAAGCAAAATGTGTATCTCACAAGAAAATATGCAACTTTAGAAGACTTTTACATATAGTATGTTCCCTTCCAAAACAAAGAAGGCTCTACAACTGAAGAACTTGCTGTCCCATGAAATGACCTTGCTTTGTCTCATGAAGCAGTGGACCACTTTCGAAACCACACAGTTTCCAGATATACAAACCTTAAAATATCCAAGTTTGAATGCATTTCACCTTTCCTTTTTTTTCTTTCCAATGCAAAAAGGCAACATATCTGAAGGATCTCAGTGCTATCTATGTTGAGGGTTCTGGGCTTCTCCACCACAACTAAAATAATTCATAACTGCCTTACTGCAGTCATGCATTAAGGGTATCAATTATGAGTTCTATCAATTAGTTAAATGCACTGTACTCAGACTAACTATTACAAAGTAACTAAATATCATATATGGGGAATATTTTAATTTTTTACATTAAAAGATGAGAGAAATAATGCAAGCATGTAGAATATTTATTCTAACTAATCCTAGCTAGAAAAGTTATCTACTGTTAGAGTTTATAATCATTAAGGTCTAATACAATATGTGCTACAAATAATATTTTTATATCAGACATACCAACAAAGGAAAATTATGAAAATTGCTATGTAATACATGCCACTCTAAAATAAAGTAATTCTTGTTGATGAGACAGAAATATTAACATATCTTTATACAAACTGTGCTTAACCCAAGTGAATTTACCAGTACATAAACCATGAAATCATATCAATAAAACAATGCAAATATAGAACATAACTTTCATAATGACTAAACAATTACATAGCTAATATTTACCAAAATAGTATACAAAGAGCAATTACAGACATATAAGTACCATAAATTGCATTGTAATAAGCATAATGTATGATCAACAAAATTCTAAGAGTACAGCATTTGAAACAAAGCTACTACTGATCTTGCAAGAGTAACGGACAAAAAGCAGAATGCATAAATTTTGCATTAAAATGCCTTGTACCACAAATTATTCAAATAGCAACAAAAGTGCTAATTCCAATCCTTATTTGGGTGATGAGTGTAAAAATTATTGCTATCTTGGTATTAGTAACATTATACTTCTAGACATCTTAATGCAGTATATCCCATAACATGAAAAAAGAATGTTCAGGATCCCCACTTACCAAAAGTAGGTCGATGACTTAGAGCTTTGATTTAAAAGACCTTGAAAACAAAATGACCAATATGAAAATCAGATCTGTGACAGTGTGGAAAACATCAGATCAGTCAATAAAAACTTTACAATACACAGGATAACAAATACTCCAGTGATGATGACATGCTTCAGTGTTCTTTAAAGGTTATAATCCTTCCTTTTACAGTTAATTGCAGCTTAAATTTCATTTATTGTTAAACAGAGTGGATTGTAAGAATATTAGAACAAGTTGAACAAACAATCTAAAACACTTGACTCTAATCATCAACTCTCATTAACATATAAAATCACTTTGATGATTACTGATAATCATAACATGGTTAAAAACAGCATCAGTTTTTCTCTACCAAGTTGAGGAAATACCAAACAGGAAACGGTCAAGTAGAGAAGAAAAGGGTGAATTCTAACATAAAATCTTCACATCCTAATCTACGACTATTCGATCACAGCAATTTTGATATGAAGTCTGTTCTTCACAATTAAATACAGCAAAAAGCAAGGCATATAACTAGCCACACTGTACATCATATTTATAACAAGAAAAAATAATAAAGAAATGTGTAATACTTATTATTAGCATGTTTGTGAAGACAACAATCTGTAATGAATTTCATAAGCCATACTCTAAAATTCTGGTGGGCCTAACACTGGAAGGCATGCTTTGAAATGTAGATAATTCCCATGTACCAGGAACTAAGTCAGCCTAACAAAAACAACAAAAATGACTGCATCACTGCCACTGAAAGACAAGGTCAGTATTAGGGAAACAGTGACCAACATAATACGACCCTGGGTTTGTCTATTGCCATGCAGTGTTAAACAAATAACACATTGAGATCAGCCTCACTGTTTTTAGACTAACTGAATAGCCTATTCTAGGAAAGGAAAACTTTGGTTATGCAGAAAAATTCAAGGGAAGGAATAGTTTCACCTTAAAGAAATTTTGATATTCTATTTTAATTCTTAAACAAACTCATCACTCCACTTTTGTTATATTTGATGATAATAGTCCACTGCATGCTTAACACAGTTATAGCTATGGTACGAACTGACAATGTATCTACAGTATACCATCAATGAGGAATATATCTCAGCATGCATTTGCTTTAGTGTGTTATTGAATATCTTGCAAATCAATAAACTACTTTGCCAGACAAAAAATTCTAAAAATTACAAAAACAGTTGCAAAAAAAAAAAAAGCATTATGAACAAACCCACTGCTCACTTGTTTGAAGATCACAACATATATTTTTTATTTTGTTTCCTGGGATGAAAGAGAAAGCTAGAGTTAATAGTAAACACTGATACAGCTTTACCATTATCTACGTGATGAAGAAAGGGATGGATAAATGGATAATATATATAAGAACAAATTAAAGGAAGGAAGATAGGAAGAAGGTAGAATATAAGAAAAAAGAAAAAGAACAATACCACATTAGGACCTCTGAAAAGCTAATATCACACTCCTGGTTCTATCCAATGGACATTATTACCTGTTTTCTAGCCAACTCAGCAGGACTGACAGTAATTCAGAAGGCATATAATCGCCAGAAGGCATATAATCACTCACTCCCTCATTCTCTTGCTAACTCACACATTCTCTCTTGTTCTCTCTCTTGCTTGTATTTGTTCTCTTCCTTGCTCTTTATCGCTCTCTTTCTCTTACTTGTTCTCTCTCCATTTCTTGCTCTCACCCTCTTAGTCTTGTTCTCACTTTTGTTCTAATGGGCTCTCATTGCATTGATTGACTTATACTCTGCTAGACATATAAAATAATATTAGTTTTTAAAAATAAAGGGTTTATGGTACTCCATGAATTTCAATAAATATCATATTGAAATTCTATCAGCCTTCAACTAAATACAAAGGAAGACACAACTTCATATTATTGCCTGTCTAGCCTATGATTACAAGTTTAGAATAGACACTTCAATACTACAGTAAATAAAGATGGGAGGGTCACCAAACCTTAAAGGTAAGTATTAACCCACAAATGACGGGTGTCCCACATATGAGACACCCAAAAAAATAAACATTGCCGGGTGTCCCGCCAGTGTGACACTGTATCAGGGCTTGCACACCGACGCAGCAG